TTTATTTGTGTTGGTACTCGAGCCTATGCCTTCGGAAGTCTTACCAACTAAATCAATTGCACCAACTACTCCTTTCCCTACACCAACAAAAAAGTTATTAACACCATCTTTCTGGGCACCAACAACAGGCTGATACACTAACCCAGCTACACCATCAAACATCCCACTTGAAAACGATTCAAACACCCTTTTCATTCCTTTTCATTCCTTTTCCTGTCGTTTTCACACGGCGGTGTGCATTTCTCTTGTCAATATACGCCTGATCAAAACTTAAAGAAGCAACAAAGAACGAAAAAGACTTCGACATTACAGAAACGGAAGACGCAGCACCGTGCGTAGTGTTCTTAGCTAGAGATCTGACACCTTTTGCCATCCCATGCCCAAATGAACTCGCGGAAACAGTGAGGCCCTGTGCTGGCTCGTAGAAGTCGTGACGTCATGTTGAGATGTCTTTCGGTAGCCCTTGAGGGTTTCCCCAAACGAAGAATTTGCAAAGAAGATGATGGCTTGGTTTGTGATTTGTTTGTAGTAATGTTCGATGAAAACATGTTTTAAGGAGCCCTTAATATTGTCGATATTGATATCAACAGTGTCGCTGTTAATATTCTTTGCGATTGAGGTGTTCAACTGTATTGAAGATTTTCTGATGTTTACTAATAAAGAACTGAATGCATATAAAAAAGCTGTTGCTGCATTATATGAAATAAAGAACAATTGATTTGGTTGCAAATTGAGTTAAATAGTAAGAACAATCGGTTGTAACACAAGCGATTTTATGAATTTTGAGTTCAGTGGAGGAATACCTTTTAGGGTTTCGGGTGTCATTGTGGATAACAAATAAAATAGAATTGACTTGAAATGTCATATAAACGCGCAATGATATTACTATCAACGGCAACTGTGATTGGTTGGACTAACACATTAATAAACAGGAAAAAGAAGAACGTGTCTGATGTTTTATTTGAATAAATCATGCGGAGACGTGGAAAGTTGGTAAGTCTCTTTGGTATCTAACAAAGACTTCATCATCCAGATTGATTACGTCACAGTCGACTTGTATACTTCCAACATCACACACTGCTTCTGAGTATTTTGAATTAATTCGAGCATTTGCATTGACACTTAAGAGGCCGGTGTTACACAATTTATCTCTATGATCGTCAATCAAGTCCACCCCAAATTTAAAGCTCAAACAAAAATGTTACATTGTGAACATGTAACGAAATTGAAGTAATTGAACCTTTCCCATTTTGTTCGTGTTTGTTTACAAATAACAGAAGACACTCTTCTGTTACTGTGACTTGGTTTGTTGTGAAGGTCAATGTTATTATGATAGTAAAAATCATGTATATGAAAATATACATGATTTGCCGACACATCATGAGCCGGCCCATCGTTGGATGCTTGTATTCTACGTGATTAATATGTTAATGTTCAATAAAAAAGAAACAACCTGTGTTTTCATTATAACAATGTTTTACTGATCAAAGGAGGAAGGCGCTTAATTGGTATTAAAGGGTTTCTTGAGGATAAGGTGTATCCTCAGGATTAAAGCTATCCTTATTTAAAAATATTTTTCTGAGGATACAAAAATCAAATCCATAAGGTTCAGTTCCCCATAAAGCCCACTCTCATAACTCAAGTTATAATTATGACTTGCATATGGTTAAAGAGATATCAAACTAAAATTAAATTAATAAAACTTATAAAAATCGTATAAATTTATCATTTGAAATGCTTTGTTTACATAGTCATGTTATTTTTGATGTTAAAATTATAAACATATTTACCTTTAATTAACGGGTGATCTGATTATTTT